CCAAAAATCTTTTCCTCTTCCAATATGGGACAATGTCTCATTGTCAAGAGGGGGAAACTTAAAATTTTACTCAAAAATTTCATTTTCCCTCCATTTCCCATTCACCCTCATTTTAAGACTATTTCATCTTAAATAACAAAAACCTCAACAGTTTCTGTCTGACAATATTACTTAATATTTTGGCGCTCATAATTATGTAGACACTCTCACTTTTCTAAGTTTTACGGTCTTAAAAGTGAAACTTAGTATGTTGAGAACGACAGTTAGTTGTTGATTGAGTATTTATTTTTTTTGGATAGTTTGTTCTGAGTGCACTTGGGTTTGAGGAACCTGGTTTGTCTGGAATGACAAGACTACGAGGATTAAGATATTTTACTAAAGGGTATTATAAACAAGTTCCGCAAGGATTAGTTGAGTGTTCTTCCTTGTTACGAGCATAAAATTACGTTTTGTAAGTAAGATCTAAAATGCTAAAAGTTATGCTTATTTGCGGTATGGACTATGGCCCATGGTAAGATGCTAGGTGTAGGCGTGTAGCACCAACTCCTTCAATATGAATGATTCTATAGATCTGTTTGATAATGATATGCCAACAGTTAACCTTGTCATAAAATAAAAAATGATATGCCAACAGTTAACTGACATATAATCTGTGGCTACTGTATCTTAGGATCAAGTAGGTATTCGATATGATATATACAATGTGAGTGGTATTCATGCAACACTAGATGTCCACATGCTCAGTAAAATTTGCTCATCTTTTGTTGATGTTCTTTTATCATGAGTGGGAGTCTCTAAATTTTGTTTGTGGTGGAACAGATCCAATCAATGGAGGAAAGTGCTGAGACTTTGAGGGATAAATGTCTAAAGTTTTATAAAGGATCTCGAAAGTACACGTAAGTTTCTTCATCTTGCACTATCAACTTATTGTCATATGTAATATTGCACAGGGCAGTCTGTTAGCAAGTATTCTGATGTAAAATTGGAGGTGAGAAGGCTGTACAGCTGTTCACTGGTAATAAGGAACTGAATAATAAAGCACAGCAACAATCCAGGCTGTTATCTTGTAATACATAAAAGAATTCAGCTCCACTGATAATATAGCAGCTGCCTGTTTGAATCTCTGTACTTGCAAGCCATAATCTAAGCTCTAACTGAACCATCCTCTCACAATATACCTCCTTCTTAAAACCTTAATTTGTTCCTTCAGCTGTTTCTTTATTTCTGGAACCACTCATTTAAATTCATGTAGCGGATTTTCTATCTTCTAGGCTACATCAGCTTTTGTATTAGTTGCCTAATTGAATTTATTTGACAGTTGGCATAAATCAGTTTCACAATGATGGGTTGTTTATGATTTTGATTAACATACAATTTTTTCCACCTATTTACATTCAATTTTTTCTGCAAAGGATATCATGGTCATATTCTAGTCTGTGTATTTCGTTCCTGCTTTCTCTTTCAGCAGTGGGTCTGAAATGACAGCAAAGGTAAGCTACTATACATCTGGAGGTTCTGCTTTGCCCCTATGGTTCATTTAAGTTATAGCATTTTTTGAAGTTTTCTTTCTGACTGTATCTTTCTATGTTTGCCTTTGAACTGGCTTTTATAATGTAAAAGATATCAATATCTTCCATCTATTAACCATAAAGGTAAATTGCACCATTTATGTGCTGTGCTTATGCAAGGAGTCTAAAGTAGTTGCACAAGCTTCTTTTCAAGGATGTTACTGGAAAAAAAAAACACAGTATCTCAAGTAGTTGTGTGTAGATTTTAGTTCTATGGTATTCTATAGGCACTAGTATCTGCTGTTATGAGTTCATTCTTTCGTCTACTATTTACAGAGAAGGGCTTGGAGAGTCATATGATAGAGACATTGCTTTTGCCAGTTCACTTGAAACCTTTGGAGGAGGGCATAATGATCCCATTTCTGTTGCATTTGGAGGTTTCCCATTCTCTCTTGACCTTTTCAGATTGTCTGCTATTTAAGTGTTCTGCTCTTTTTTCCTCTTCTCCGACTGATGTTAAGGCCTCATCTTAGAGCCGCATACTAGCATATGATCAGTATCATGATTATCAATTATCTGGTGCAGTGTGACTTCTCGTAGTACCAAAGAGGGTAAAATACATAAGAAGTTATGGCACGTTTCTAGGAACTGAGAAACTGTTTTGAATAAATGTGAAACTTCTATGATACAGTCTTGTGGCTATACACAGTCCTGAGGTAATGAAATAGTGGAACATTTTCTGATAACATAATCAAAGGCACATAATACACAGATCACTTCTGTTTGTGGAATGACAATCAGTTTACAATTAACTACCTAACCCAAAATGTAGTTTTCTGGAAATAGACTTTGTTAGATAATTATCATTACAACACTTCAATAAAATGACAACACTTTAAGAAACACTAATAAAAAAAATGACCATTCTTAAGGTACTGTCATGATGAAAGGTTTAACATGAACATTCTATTATTAAAAGATTATTGGAATTACATGTTTACTAAGTAAAGTTAAGTTTAGATGCAAAAATGCTACTACTATGAAAACTAAGGGTAATAATTTGGACACTAAAGTTAGTGTCCCAGAAGACTGTTTTTTAAGAGTTTTGCAGAAGACTGTTATTTTAAGTATGGTCAAACCCAATCTGTGATTTGATAGGGGATTAGTGAATCATGGACTGCCTTCTTAGATATTTCAGGTGAAGGGATTTCATGTTAGATATATCGAAATGATTTCACAGATAAAAATGACCAACAACTCTTGCTTTGTTGTTTTTTTGATAACCGAGAAATCTCTGAACAATACTAGTGCACAGTTCAAAACTCGGTGGATACGGGCCCACCCATCTACCTTTCTCTACTTAAATACCTGGCTTTGGTTTGCGGCGAGTGTCGAACTTGTGACGTGCACCTATACCACGCATCACGCGTTGCGCTCTTACCACAGGACCAAAGCCCTGAGGGCCTCTTGCTTCCTTGTTTTCTTGGTGGATAAATGGAGTCCTAAGTCCTGCAAAGCAGTTTCTGTCATAAATACTGTCATTGTTGGTTGCAATGATGAGGGGTATAATGCTTTCTCTACAGTATGAATCTGATATAAGGTTCTTAAGTCCTTTTCCCTTTTCTTGTGTCCATATGTGTGTCAAGTTTTGGTCTTGTAGCTTACAGGCTTAAATGTGACTAGTTTCTACTTTCTATTGTGAACAACTGTAAAACGTTTTCAAAATTGAGCACTATAGTCGTACCATAATGCTGATCTCACCATGATGGATAACGTATTTGATTGCAGAGTAATTACTAAAAGCTGATAAGATAGGCTTACAGTATATTTTCTCTTGAAAGTTAAGTGGTTTTAGAAAGATTGAAAAAATATATCATTAAAAATTAAGTGGTTTTAGTTAATTCAGGGCTTCTGTTCTCAGGAACAGTCCAATTTGATTACCTTTAAAAATTTTGTTGTTACCTTTGATACAAAAAATTGATTTCATTTTAGCATGCTTCTATTGTACAACAGAGGAAGTTGACAGTAGTATCTTTAACTAGCAGTTCTTATGTGCTCCTTGCAATTTATGCTCTAAGTTTTGTACTTTTAGATCTTTTTGTATAATAAAATGCGCCTTGTGGTGACGGGGCGGGTTGTGGGGGGGTGGGGGTTAGGCATTTACCAGTAACCCTGAAGGAGGGGTACCTCATGCTTATCACCTCATATCCTAAGTTTATCAAACATGCTCAACTCTTCACATCGTGGATGCTTTACAAAAGTAATATCTCCTAAATGGTGATTGCACATCGTTAGAGCTACGGTCAGATGCGGATCCAGGATTTAAATTTTATATGTTCAACCTTTAAGGTTCTTAGTATTGAACCCATTATATCCTAAAGTTATGGGTTCATATCTATAATTTATTGCGATTTTAGTGGTTTTTTGTACATAAATTTGTGCTTCGCATCGAAAGTTATGGGTTCAATTGAACCCGGTGTTAAGAGCTACATCCGCCCCCGTCTAGGAGACTCCTTTGCACAAAAGAATGTATATTACCAAGAGAAGCAAAGCCTACGAAGAAGTACATCATATTTCTAGATTTTGAGGTCTAAAAGAGGCTCAAGTCTTGAAATTCAGTTATGAACCTTTTAAACTTAGAAGTTAGAAGTGATGACCAATAGGTTCTTCATCCAAAAAGATGTAATCTGCAGTGAACTTGGCTGCATCTTTTGTACTTTCGAACTACCTCCTTAGTACTATCATAAATAAAATACTTTACCTTAAAAATTTAGGCCCTTTATCCAAAAAAATTGCTAAACTTTAGAAGGTTAACAACTAAGATTGGCATATTCAGCTGCGCTTATTTAGCTCAAATGCATTCATTTACAATTCTCATCTTTTTTCGTTTCACTTATTTTCGACAAAGAATCAAGACAAAGCCTTACTTCCCCAGTTATAATGATAATTGCAAGTTGCACTCGCAGGCCCTGATATGGCTAAATTTGCTATCGCTCTGAGAGAAATTGGAACGTACA